GTTTCAGTGGCTGGCATGGCACAGTGGGGTTCCAGGGAGGGCACAGCATGTGGTACCGGGGATCGAACTTGGGTCTTTGTGCTTGCCAGGCGGCGCTTCGATGGCAGAGCTATCGCCCTAGCCCTCAGGCAAGGGTAAGTTCTGATGAGTCCTGGTTACATTCAGACCCCCAAGCACAAGGAAAACCCCAGGACTCGGAGGTTGGACAGGTCCACAGCACGTGGGTACAGGAATTGCATCCGCCACTCGTGACAAGGAAGACCACCGACTCAGCGGCTGGGTGCTCTGGATTCACACACACCTGGTTCCCACCCTGGCACGATGGGGGGCCAAGGGGTGGATCTGGCGTGGGCAAGTAGAGCGCCTTGGATCCTGGGCTGGGGAATGGAGCTGTCTCAGCGCCACTGCTTGCTGAGGGCGCCTCATGACAATGCTCGAGAAGCGCAGTGCACAGGTGCAGGGAGCTGGAGCCCGCAGTGTGGGGCGAACTCAGCAGCCAGCCAAGCTCCAGTACTGCAGTTCTCCTGGGCGAGAAACTCAGAGTATAAATCAACAAAATTGGGCCCTGGAGATGGCTCAGTGGTCAAAGCGCCTGCCTGGCAAACACAAGGACCCTGGTTCGATCATACTTGGTACAACGTGCCACATGCTGTCATCCTTGGCACACTGAGCCAGTGCATGCCAGCGCTGGGGAGGCCGAGACAGGAGAATCACCGGGAGGCTGAGCTGCGTAGTGAGACCCTGTACCAAATGCACAGAATTAAATCATCAATCAATCAATCAACAAAATTGAGAAGTAAAAGTTGGCAACAGGAAAGGGGGAGATTGTTTCTTTGCCAAGGGGAAAGGAACCAGGAGATGGGAAAAAGGGGAAGAGGTGAGAGGAAGGGGCTGGAGCAGAGTGACAGGCACGCTCCGCACATGCAGCAACTTTCCACGGTGAAGGGAGCCATTATGTATTGCAACTGCGGACTGATAGAAACTTTAAAAAAAGGCAACTGTTATGCAGCTGGCTGTCCCTGCAGGGCTGTACACGGTGCCCCCTGGCTGGGTCTTTCTTTTCCTACTCGATTCTCCAGCATAAATGCCACAGCTGGAGAGAGGCCACTTCTCGGGTTTAGTTCACAGGATATACAGGTACCGACCTGGTTATTCCCTATTTCTACTGTTTTGTTCATCATGTTGACTTTTAATTAGTTTCCGGATTGCTTTTTGTCCTTTGCTGAGGGCAGACACCACTAAGGTGGTTTTGGCCTATGGTGGGGGAGTTTGTAGAAGGAACAGCAGAGGTGGAGAGCCCCTGGGCGCTTGCTTGCTGTATCTGAAAGCACCTGTCCGTGTGAACTTTGGGGCTACATGTTTGGGGTTGGTCTTGGATCTTGCTTGGTCTGATCTGTGTGTGTGTGTGTGTGTGTGTGTGTGTGTGTGTGTATACCTGTGCGTGTGCATGTGTGCGTACATGCATGTGTGTGTGTGTGTGTGTGTGTGTGTGTGTGTGTATTTAGGAAAGCTCCCTGGGACATCAGCTGAGACAGGCCAGGGACTCCTCCCCAGCACTAACCCCAGTCCTCCTGCTGAGCCCACACGTGTCTGCGGGCTTTCCAGGGAATGCGAGAAGGTAGATGGCATGTGCCAATTGAATCCCACACATCCTTGTGTGCAAAGTGCAGAGGGGCTGCGTGCACGTGTCTACGAGCACCTTGGGGGTCTACAGCTGTGGGCGTGGGTGTGGGTATCCACACCTACGCATGCATCAAAGTCTAAATTCCGAGCCCCAGAGGGAGACACCAAAGCTGCATGGGTCCCTGATGTGATCTCAAGGTGGCATGCTGGAGAAGAGCAGCAGGGGAGGGGTTCTTCTTCCCTGGGTCCCAGGATGTCGCCCAGGTAAATGCTCTGGGCAGCCAGTGGGAGTCTGCACGGGGTCTCCCCTATCCCCGCCTGGTTCCCAGATCCTGGCCTGGGGCCACCTTCAGGCTACTCCAGCCAGAGATGCCTCCCTCCACCTCAACCACAAGGCACCTGCGCGCAGGCAGGCCCAGCTGGCTCTTGGAGAGGTGCAAACCTAAACTCGTAAAGGGTCAGGCAGGTGGCACCCAGGCCAGCTCCAAGAGGACAGCTGTCGAGGTGGAGGACAGTGCTCACTGAGAGCCTCAGCCTGCCCGTTGATGGCCGCCCAGTGGGCGTGGCTCTAAGCGAGCCGCTGGCTCTCCAGCACAAAATTTGGGTGACTGACTGTCCTCTCCTAGTTTCAACCATTAGTAATCAAGTGGAAAAACATGTTTGTAATACATGCGTGTCAAGCAGTCTCACTCGGCAGATGGCCGGCTGTGGCTACCAGTTAGCCAGTGATGGCTGGGACCATTGGTTCTGGGGTGCCATGGTAGTGGGGTCCCCTCCCAGACTTAGATTCCCTTCACCAAGTGGAAGGACTAACAACAAGGCAGTTCCGGGTTGGTAGGCCAGGGAGTAGGGTCTTCCATTTTTAGGTTAGACATTTGCATGTTTAATTTTTATAGTAAGCCTGCACCACTTCTGTGCTAAAAAGAAATAATGTAGATCTGGAAAAGATGAAACTGGGCAAATATTTAGTATATGATGTGACTTAAATGCTTTCAATGGCATGGTATCGATGAATTCTCTTGTTTCTCTTATGTTTGATTCTTAGACTCAGCGGCCCACGGGTGGGCGAGTCCACCCCCAGGCTGCACTGCGGCTCTTGGTGTGACATGGCTGGGGTGGGGGTTGGGGTGGACACTGGCATGCAGTGGGTGGGGGCCAGGCACCACGCATATGGCTGCATAACTGGGGATTCTGCACTCCAGGGCCAGCAGTCACTGACCAGCTCCGACTGACTTCCGGGGGACAGGCAAGTGTGGATCTAAAGGGTTTTGGGACGACTGAACTCAGAAAGAATTTGGGGTTTAAGTTGCAACGGTAGTCCTTGGCTAGCACTTGCTTCTCGTCTGTAGGAGTCACACATAACAGCGTGTGCCCCAAGAGCCACTGGACAGGCACTCTAGGAAGTTGTTCCTGTGGACAGCTCCACTCCCCAACCCACCCCAGCCCTGGCTTTCAATGACAGACACAGAGGACAGCTACCTGGCAAAGATGATTGAGCGATGTCTGGCGTCTCAGGATTTGCGAAAACCTTCTGGACACTGCAAGAGGAGGAGAGTTACTTGGAAATATTAGTGTGCTTAAAAACCCAAGGCCAGTTCTAAGAGGACTCCCTGCTCTTCTTCCATCCGTCTCTCCCTGCTCCCACTGTGCCCCCCTCTGCATCTGACTCTTTTGTTCTCCCTTGCAGGCTTCGAGAACCATTTCCTCCTGGCTCATGGTGATCTTTGGGGTGCAGATTTCAAAGTCACGCACTTGCTGCACTCGCAGGTGTGAGAAATGGTGGTGTCAACCAACCGTGAGTAAAAGCAATTATTTACTCGTCTTTCATTTCGCTAATTGCCAGCTCAATCACTTGTCCCATAAATAATTGCAGGAACCGCATGGCAACTTTGAAGAAGCCCCTTCTGAGCTGTAGTATGTCTAATAGAAAATCTTGCTTGTCTCTCAGTGATGCGCGGGGACGCGGGATTCCTTGGATGAGGTCCAGGCGGCACTGTGTGGGGCTTTGCCTAATCTGCCTGGTTTCTCCTGTGATCACCCACCTGGTGATCACCACCTTTAAGAAGAGTTCCTGGGGCCGGGGAGATGGCTCAGTAGAATAAGCGTTGGCCTGGCAAGCGCAAGGGCCTGAGTTCAATCCCCAGTTCCGCGAAGAAGAAGAAAGAAGAAGAAGAAGAAGAAAGAAGAAGAAGAAGAAGAAAGAAGAAGAAGAAGAAGAAGAAGAAGAAGAAGAAGAAGAAGAAGAAGAAGAAGAAGAAGAAGAAGAAGAAGAAGAGCTCTTGCTTCCTGCCCCAACATAATGGGCTGACACCCTGAAGCAGGGGACCCTCGGTCTCGTTTTGCTGAGGACAAGACCTGTGCCTGCGGCCCGCTACCTGGCACCTGGAAGCCGCAGCTGCAGCCGGCTCCGCCAGCGGGGCTTGCACAGGTGGAAGGCCCAGCAGAGCGCCTGTGCAGCGCCTGTTTTGTCAGCATAATTAAAATGGGCACGGGGCATTCTTCTCATTAATTTCTGAACTGGTCAAGAAATAGAAACTTCCCCAGGATTATTCTAATTTGCACTCCGAGCTGGCTCGGTGTGAAAAATGAGGAGCAGGGAGGAGGGATGGGGTTGGGGCGGACAGATGAACTTCTAATTTTCCAGGCCGATCAATCGTTAATCCTTCTCCTTAATTACTTTTTCTTTAACTTTGTGATGTGGAATTTAGTGCTGGAGAAAAGAAAAGAACTGAGAGCCGTGAAATAAAGCGGGCTTTATCAATAGGTGATGGTCACCGCAGGCGGCCTCCAAGCATGTCTGAAAGGCCTCCTGCGCCTGCGGAGACGGGGTAATTTGATCGCCTTCATTTTCCTCGCTGGCACTTATTTTGGGCAAGAATAGCAAGCTGTATTCAAATGGGGCTTTGAGAAACATATATTTTAAAATCTTGTTTTGCTTAAAATCATTTCATCTTTACTTAATGGCAACAAATGAGCTGCACACAAGTCTTCCCGATGCGCAGACACAGGGAGAAGGGGAAAAACCGGTTTCCTCCGCTCGGAGCTGCCAGGGAGTGGGAGAGGGAGCCACTGTGAGGCCAGACTCGCTGCCCCAGGCCCTGCCGGGAGAAATAGTAATTTGGCTTCTAGCTAGGTGGAGAGGAGGAGAAGGCCCAGGGCTGCTCTCCATCTCTAGCGACTGCCATCTTGGAGGCCGGAGCTGGAGGAAATCCTGGTGCTTCGCGGTCGGTCGCAGGGCTTTGGAGAGTTTTCGCTGCCATCCGAAGCCTGATCTTAGGATAAGGACTGCAATTCCTACATGGCAGAGGTGGTGATGAGCGGAAGCAGTCTGCTTGGAGGCAGACAGCAAGCCTGCAGGTGACCCTGTCCTGCTCCTTGTGTGCCTCTAGGCCAGAATTCCTCTGCTCCAAAAGGAGCGCTCGCTGCCCTGTCAGTGCTGGCTGCGTGTGCGCAGGCTGAGCCTGGAGTCGTCCGTCGGCACCGGCGCTCTGCACGCAACAGAGGCAGTGACCTCACAACGCCCCACGTAGAATGTGCCACTAGAGCATGACTCTCCCCTTGTCCTGCCAAGCTGGGCACTCACATTCAAACTTTATGTTCCGCAAATTTTCTGGGAGGTCGTGGAGAGCCACCTTCAGCCACTCATCCAGCTGCTTGGCAAACTTCCGGATCACTTGAGTTAAGCTGCAAAGAGAAGCAATGCCTGAGTGTCTGTGTTCACTCCAGCCACCCCGGAGGCTCCCAGACAGTGCCCTCTGCTCCTCAGAGCTCAACTGCCACCATATGTGTGCCCATCCCAGAGGGGCTGAGAGCCTGGGGCCTGGGAAGGGGCGAACGGCAGCAACGGTGCAGTCTACCCTGCCTCACTGTGGGAAGGCCACCGCCAGGCGAGGCTGCATCTTGCTGCAAGCGGAGGGTGCTCCCTGGCTCTGAAGAGCCCTGAGTGCGGAGTGCGGACAGAGGCCTGGGGCCTCGGAAGGGTGCTCTGCAGCCAGCCTGCTGCCCCCCTACCGTCAAAGCCCACACTGCCCAGCGAGCTGCTTCCCGGGCACAAGCCTCTCTCACCTGGGCCCTGAGACAGGTTAGATGTGGAGTGTCCAGGATAGTTTGGGACAGGAGGTGGGGGTGCTGGCCACGAGACTCACTGAGGGCGCACTGGGCTGCCATTTGGAGCCGAAAAGGCATGCATGGAGCGCAGCGCTCAAGTCCTCACTGCCAAGAGCGCCTGCTCATTGTCCCGGGCCAGCGTCCTCCTTGGTGCTGCTGGACTGGGGACCTCGCCCCACCCCCTGTGGCTCACCTCCCTCTTGCCCTTGGCCCATGGGTCTGCCCGGCCCAGTTCTCCCTTCCAGCGTCTCTCCTGCCAGGCCTTGACCACCAGCCTCACAGCCACTCCTGCCACACTCCCCACCACCCGTTCTTGACCCTTCCTGTGATGAACCCCAACCTTCTCCACCGCCCAACACCCCGGCTGACCACCCTACCTCTCAGGGAAGACAAAGTACACGGACAGGCCCAGGTCAGCATCCCGCCCCTTGCAGGTCCTCCTCTTCCTCCTTCCTAGAGGAGCCATGGAGCCGTTACCTCTGGTCCTTACACACCGACTGCCCCTCATGTACACTCTGTGGCTCCCTCTTCCCCCCAAACATATTTCCTTTATAAAATTATGGCTCCTCTTCACTGCTCATATTTAATCCACCTAACACTCCCTCAGTTTAAAAACCAAAATATAACCTCTTACATCCTTGGCTCCATCTTTTCAAGCTACCACCTTGTCTCTCTCCCATGTCATATGGCACGGTCCATGCCCTTGGCCATCTTTCTGTCATCCTTGTCACTTCTTGCCTAAGCAGTTATGATGTGGCATCTGCATCCATCAAGGTTGCAAACCTGTAGGAGGCACTTTGGTCCTCCTCTTGCCTAACATCTGGGCAGTGCTCAGTTCTGTCACTAGCGTCCCCCTTTGTGGAAGCCCCGGCATCTGTGACTGTGGTTCTTTCTCTTGGGTGTTCCTGGCCACAGAGCCCTAGCTGGTACATCCTTGGGCTCTTCCGGTCCGGGTCTGGGCTCTCTCCTGCTGGAGCGGCCTCCCTTCCCTGCTCGGCAATTGCTGCACTTGCTCCACACCTCAGGCACAGGGCCCAAAGAGCCTCGGGTCCCCTGCACCTTCGCTGTAAGCCAAAGTCATGTCAAGTCTAGTGGGCCCAAGACGGACCCTTGCTCCACAGCCCTGGGTCTTGTACTCTCAGATTCAGAGTAAAACTGTACTTTCCACAAAGATTTCATGGTTAATTCTAAAAAGGCTCCTACTCCCCTCAAATGGGTCAATAAAGTAAACTTTCAAGGACCCTTGATCTAGCTGCAGCGGATCTGCTGGGCCATATTTGCCAGTTTATCCTGCACCACCTTTTCTTTTCTGGGGTATTATAAGCAAACGTGATGCCATTCGTCCCAAAAAGCTTAGTGTGTGCTTCTGACGAGGTTTAAATATGTGCGTGTCACCCACACGCATGTGCACATGGCCTCCTGGCCACCAGTGTGCCTGCAGCGCTGACGGCCCCTCCCCAGCACCATGAAAGTCTAGGCTGTATTCAGATTTCTCTCTCTCTCAAAGATGCAGTTTATTTGATGTAGAATCAAAACAGGGTCCAGCGATTGCACACAAAGCTGCGTTGCCGTTGCTAGCTTCTTCAATCTCTTTTGCTGTGTTTTCTGCCCTGCTGTCCTGGAGGCCCCGTGGCTGCGAGGCCCCACAGTCTCATTTGGTCACTTTCTTCCTTTTCGTGTCAGTTAATCTGTTCATCAGCCTCGCGTGCTTCCTCTTGGAGCTGGATCCCATTAGTTTTCAAGGCTAGGACACGCCGCAGGGAGCTCCTGTGCTGCCGGCGACACCCTCCTGAGGGGCCCCACAGTCTCCTTGTTCCTCTTTCCGTGTGTGCGGTGACTGTGCTGAGCCTGTCTCTTGGCCCGTCCTGAGCACTGCAGACTGTGCCCGGAGTGGCTGCTCAGGCTCCTGGGCCCTTTGGTTCGGGCTCCTGTGGTCTTGCTGCACTGTGACTTTAGCCCATCCCAGACCCGTTCCCTGGTCAAAATGAAGCCCCACGCCCTAAAAGCCCAGGCCCACACGCCTCTTCTTGCCTGTTTGGCCCCTCTTGCCCTCTCTCCGGCCGCACACTCCAGCCCTGGGCTGTGCTGTCGTCGTAGTCTGGCCTCTGCTCCTGCAGGTGTGCCAGGCCCATCACTTCCTTCTTCGCCTGTCCAGCACCTCAGCCACACACCCCAGACCGGCTGCTGCTTCCGTGGGAAAATCTGCCCAGAAGCTCCCAGCGTGAGCAGAGGCTCCGGGCTCACTCCTCCACGGAGGATAGCTGCTGGGACGGTGTGCATCCCGTGGTCATCGGGTGAATGCGCCTCTTTTCTGGACTTCGTGCTGCAGGCGCGGGCTGGGGCCAGGCTCGATCGCTTGTAGCCTTTTCCTCAGCACCCAGCAAGGTACAGGATGCAAACAGGCAGGAGAGCAGTGTTTGCTAAATGGGATGAACGAGCCAGCAGACAGATGGCTCCCAATCCCAGACCTCAGACCGAGTCCCCACCAGGCCCATGCTGCCCCACCCCACTGTCACCCCTGGCTGCACTTTGCCCTCTGCCTCCCACACCACCCTGGGCCCTTACCCACTCGCCCAGGGGAAGAGGAGCCAGGGCAAGGTGTAACACGGACACTGGTGTGGTGGTGAGGGGAAGGAGCTCCACAGTTGAGCGGCGGAGGGATGGGCCCTGGAGGACCACGGGAAGGGTGTCTTCCGGAAAGGAAGGGGGACCCCACAAAAGAGGTGCTGTGCATGGCAGAAAGGCAAAACTTAAAATGGTCCCTATTATCCACACACTGGACCCAGTTTCTAAGTGAGCAGGCTTCCAGGATGTTTGGCGCCATGACAGATACCCCACATGTAGGGAGCTCTGGCACAGGCCTGGGGCAGCAGGAGGGCCTGTCCCTCCCCAGCGTCCCCAGTGGCTGTCACTCACACAGCCAGAGTAGCGGAGAGTAAGGGGCCGGCCCGAGGATGGGGCCTCTCACTTCCTGCAATTGTCTGCTTTTATTGAGCTGAAGAAAAGCAAGGAAGAGCTCAACCGGGAAGAGATTCTATTCTGGGACCTGGAATTTCGGTCTGTTGTCCTTTAGAGGGATCTAAACTTTGCTGTGGTGTCCCTGGCTTCCTGGTCTCCTAGTCAGAGTGGTCCTGTCCCGGCCTGGCCACCTCCTGCACTTGCTGAGAATGTCACCCCCTCTTGCTATCCTTCTTGCATGAGGATTCGTGTGCAGCCTGGCCTCTTCCCTGGCCAGCTTCCTCCCGACCCGGCTCCTCGGCTGGGACTCTGGGGTGGCCCTGCCTTCTAGTGACAGCTCTTCCTGCCTTTTGTGCAGACGGTGCCTGTGTCTACAGAGCCAGCTTACACATCCACTGCCTTTTCACTTTCTGACCTCCAGCGGCAGTGGCAGTGGCGGCGGTGGCAGCGAGGAACCAGTAGCAGTTGCCTGTTGATGAGCGCGGAGCACCCTATGTGTGCGTCCTTGGGGGCCCCTCACTCCTGCTAGGTAGGCAGTGTTGTCAGCTTCAACAGAGAGGAGAAATCTGAGGCGTGGATAAGTTATTTTCTTTGTCCAAGGAGATGTGGCCAGGCAACCCAGCGAGGGCTCAAGCCTGGGCCTGTGACTCTTGGGTGTGGTCTCAGCTGGTGGAAAGGCCCACAGGCACCCTTGTAGATGCCGCCTTCCCTGACTGCAGCCTCTGCTTTCTGCTTTTCACTGCAGTCCCTTGAACCTCAGGCCTGGTGCTCAGTCTTCGCCCCTCTGATGCCTTACCCTCCTTGCCCCCTCACCCCCGTGGGCACACACACACACACACACACACACACACACACACACACACCTCTTTAGTTCTGCTAAAGCAGTTACTGGTAGCCTCCACTGGGCCAAGATCACTAGGAAGAGAGAAGAGTCCAAGGCCGAAAAGGGCCTACGCCTCGCGGAAGCGGCGCCAGCCGCCCTGCACTGAAGAATGCTTTTCGGAGTTGGGAAGAAGGGAGATCAGAGCTGGGCCTCAGCCTGGCCAGGGCCAGCAGGGAGGGCGTTTAGAGCAGTCCCATCCCCATGGCACCCAGGCCTGGCACACAGATGGCACTCAGGCAGGGTGACAAATGGCCGGATGCGTGAATCCATGAAACACCAGCTGCCAGGTGAACCTCGGCCTGTGAAATAACTCTGTCTCCTGATTGGGGAGTGTCACATCGCAGTGTTAATAATTTAACCACAGTAACAAGTCCTATGGCGGCTGCAGGCTCTGCAGGGCAGCAGACCTGTGGCTGTTATTCAGTGGTGTTCTCCAGGGCCTGCCATGGTGCCTAGTATTTTATAGAAATCGCTAAACATTGCATTAGTACATGAGCCAGTGTTGGAGTCCTGGCTGCCTTGTTAGCTGCATGTGACGGCTGATGAGCCATTTTCGCGCTCAAGGTTTACCTTCTACATGTATTTGGATTAAATCTTCCAGCTTGCTGGTTGTTTTCCATTTCTAATCAGGGGCTAAGTTTCATTTGTACGTCACAAACTGCTTCATAAAAACTGCAAATTCTGTGTGTGTGCGTGTACAAAACATCTGCAGTGTTAGGCATGAGACAGCTCTCAC